TTATATAATGAATCACACTATATAGTGAAGTTTTTTGCCAAAACAAACTCTTCCTTATATCGAGCGCCAACTGTATAATATTTTCCTATATTAAATTGCAATTAAAATTAAAAAAAAAGCCAAACCATCTCAAAGTTGATAAAATAAAAAAGGAAAATTTGGGGAGAAACTACCCAATAAGTGTTATTTATTAATTAATTTTTTTTATAAGGGTGATGGTTGCAATGTTGCAACCATCATTTTAGTTATTATGCAAAAAAACACTTATGTCCATTTAATTTCCTGATGCACGCAAAAAAAATTCAAAAACAAAAACAAGCAAAAAAATATTGATGCATATTTTGGGTAAGTATTCTTTTAAAAAAATTGTCATTTTAGTTCTAGTTAAGAAAAAACAGTTGCAATTAATACAATAATTTATAAACCTTGTTTTTTTATTTATTAAGCAAGGAAAATAACAAATCTAGCATCAGGAAATTAATTTAGTGTAAACTTGCATAAATCTTACAATGCTGACATAATATTGCATAAATCTTATGGCACTGATGTAAGTTTTACACTTTTTTATTATTAAACTTATGATTTACATGTGCAAATTTTTTTTATATTTTCCAGATGTAATGTTGGTAATATTAAGTATTATAATTTATTTGAATTAATAATAAGATACATTCATATTTGAATTTCCCTTTCAGGTTCAAAGCCTCCTGAAGATGGGCTTGAAACTGTTCAGGAAACTTTGGATGAAGAATCCAAAATTTTACCCAATGAAAACAATGAAACCAGCAATTGAATTAATTAAAAAATATCAATCTATGCCACAAGATTATCTGTAGTAAGTATGATCGGTCAGTAATTACAGGTGTGCATGTGCAATATCTTAACACTCTTTATAGTCCAGTCTGGCAGATATTAGATGTAAGGCCCACATTTGTTGGTTACAGTTTAAATGGTGGTCAAGTTTATGGAACTTTTACTGATAAACAAATAGAGACAATAACTCAACCTTTTGACCTACTTAAGGAATGTGTTTCAAAAATTTCTTGTCCAATTGGTGAACATTTACTTGTTATAATTAGTGATGTTAGCCGGCTAATAATCTGCACAAATAATTTCTAAATTTGGTAATAGATTTCTGCATTACTTTCTTGTTATAGAAATAAAATTACCAATTTAGGTAGTAAACGGTTTAGCCGGCTAAGGATTTTTAAACGGCTAACATCACTAATTATAATAGACAAGGCATGTATAATGTTATTATATTTTGTTTATTCTAATTATTTATTAATCAGTCTTAACTGATATTTATGCAGCTGAGTACCAAAAAAATACTTGAAATTGGTGAAAATTGGGCAGTAGATGGAATAAAATTAACATTATTGAAAATTTCCACTTGGTTACCAGAAAAGAGAGAATGTTTGACTGATTTGCTCATGAAACAAAACAATAGAATAGGATTGGAAAAACAAATAGATTTTAATGATGCCATAAATTTAGCCAATACATGAATGATAAAATGTATTTTTCAGGTCATAGATGAGTGGTACTTATGATATTAAAAATTTAAAATTTTGATCTTCCATAATATAATGGCAGGGTTTGACAGTACTAACAGATTTATTGCTAAAAAAGCGTAAAAAACATAAAATTAGGCCTACCACCAGCTGGTGAAAGAAATTGTGATATTCATTTTGTGATACCATTTATGGAAATTATACATATAGAAGCTGAATATCATTAGTAAGTTAATCTTTGAAAATTACTACAGTTTGTACAACGATCTTTATTAACTATGTATTTGTAGTGTTGATTTAATATCTTCTGCTTCTGTAGCATATCAAAAGAGATTTGGAAGGGTTGGACGACACAGTGATTATATTTTTGGTGTAAATTTTTAAGAAATTAGCCATTTTTGACTATTTTTATTTATGTATTTATGAGCTCTTGTTTTTTTTAGTTTAAATAATGATGATACAAAACAAGGGCGTGAATTTGGAAATGTGGAAAATTCAGGTCCTGATACAAAAGATCATTATGACAAATCCACAACAGATTTTTTAAGAGTAATAAAAGTAGCTCATGATCAAAATTCTGCTCTTCTGCAAGTTGTAAATTTGGCAGCTGGTGGTTCAATGGATGCTAATTTACAATTAATAGTCAACAAAATATCACTTATTGGCATTTGTATTGTAGGTTATACTATAAGGGTGTATGTTGTATTTTATCTTGGTAACGGGGTATGGATTTCAGATGAGGTAGCAATTTTCACCTTACCTAAATTTACTATAAGCAGTTTGTTAGATATAAGTAATGCTTGCAGAACATTCTTTTTGTAAAAGTGAGTTTTTTTTTTCTCTCATACATATTGTATTGCTTACAGCTAATATACTATCTTTTATTTTAGGAAGTCATTAACAATGCAAAAAAAATATTTTCAGCAGCTATTACTTATGCTTGTAATAACAGGGAACTTCGAAAAAGTGCAGTGTTAACTCTGAAACATGTAACTGATCATGATATAATTGATGAAATTCCTATACCAACAAAAAAACCTTGGGTATAGAATTTTATTGTTTTGATATATATGATTATGTAACCCGTTTTCTCAATATTGAAATATTTTTCTTAATAGGTTGAGAGGCCAAGCATTAAAGAAAGAAAGTGTATGATAATTGAAAATAAATTAACCAAAAAAATTTTTTTAAAAAAAGAATATGTTAAGAATGGTTTTAAAAGAATATTTTTATTTATATTCTATTAAAGGCATTGGTGTGTGGTTTTTGAAACAAAATTACTTCATGTATTTAAATTTGCTTATAAAAAAACAATAGAATGAATTGAAGATTTCTACACACAATTTCTTTTTTAACCAACTGTTTTAAGTAAAAAATGTTAATGATATTCCTTATTAAAGTTAAAGGTACTTTATAAGTAATAAATTAATAAAAACTTCATTTGAAAATTTTAAAAACCCATTCTTATTCTTACTGATTTTGTGAGGACTTTATTTATCACTATCTTATAATCCTCTATTAGCAGCAATGGCTCTGTGCAACAACCACTTTAAAACATACTCTCTTGACGATGTTTACTCATAGTATTCTTTGTGCTCGGTTTTTCTTTTTGCTTGCGGATTTGTTAGCATTTTTTAAAGAAAAAATAAAAAGATTTATCATTATCCCAAAACAAAAAACTTATTGAGAACGGAGAATTTCCAGACATTTGCCTTAAAAATATTAAAAAAATTAACCAAAATCAAGCCTTAAAAGAGGACTTATTTACCAATTTTTGATATACAGCAAAACACTGAGTTATTTAATAAGGAAATGGATTATCAAATTTATTACTACTTCTACCTACAAAACTGAAAAGTTATCAGATTCGCATAGATTAGGGTTAATGCAGGAATTTTTTCTTGAGAAGTACTACCTTCACTCCTAATCAATTTGCTTTTTTGTTCCTTTGCTGTTACATTTTCATGAATGCATTTTTTTGGAACTAATTATAAGGGATAGTAGTAATGTGCATTTAAAACAGATAATCAATAATACAATTGTGATGTTACCCTGAAATTCTTGGTAATACCAATGTTCACTTTGCCCTGGTTTTGTTGCAGCATGCCCCATATATAACACAAGACAAGATTGATATATTGATATAAAAGAAAGAAAAGAAAATTCCTTTTACATATTGACGAAACCCAGATTTTGCAACATATTTAGAAATACAAAATAGTTGGTCCTTTTTTGTGTTAATATTGTCAGGACTTGATAAACACAAGTTGGACTAGCTATAAATGGATTCAGTTATCATTACAAACCAATTATTATCTGGAAATCTTGGATAAATTGTTTATGGACTAACTATCACTTGGTAGAAGTCTTTCTCTTTGAAGGATATTGGAGGACCTCCAGACTTTTGCAAGTGGAAGAGAGATGAATGAAGATACGAAGATTACAAAAAAAAAAAATAGAGTTCCGAGAGCCATAGTTAGTTTACAAAAATAAAGTTCATGAATTAGAGATGTAAATCAAACTCATTTAGATTTTATTGAAAGAATCGAGGAATTGAATTAGATGAAAAAAGAACCAAGAAATAACCACCTTAAAGAGGAGAACGTGAAATATTATTGATAAATTGCAAAAGGCTAATGATAAAACAGCAAACTGTTTAAAACAATCAAAAGAAGCTTCTTGATAAAACGAAGATTAATATTAGCTCTAAATTACCAGCAACAAAATGTCAACGAGAAGAAAAAAGCAAAAAAATCACAACTAGATATAAATAATAAAAACAACGAGATGCAGCATCAATGAATCAACAAAATAAGGAGATAGAGAAAAATAAAAGATTAGAACGATTATGAAAATGAACTAAAAAAAAAAAAAGAGAAGAACAAGCATTTAATAAAACATATAAAGTGAAAATAATATTCAGGGACTTCAGATAAAATTAAAGAATTAGTAAACAAAAATTTGAACTGATAAAACAACAAAATATTATTCAAAAAGCCTGAACAACAAAGTCAAGGCCAAGTGAAGGAAGGATAAGCTCGGTACGAATTTATAGTTTTGATTGATTATTCTACTTGTACTATATAGAGGGGTGTTGAACAATTAAAACATTATGATTGTAGAACAAGAGACAAAAAATAATTCATATGATGTCGTAGTATTATTATTGTGGTTTTAAACAATTTTCGATCCCTGAAATCTTTGATGTTGGTTTTGTTGCAGTCTGCTCATATTAACATAATGATGTATTGTGTATGATGATAGCTTTATACAACAATACAGTGATAAACCTGCTCTATAAATCTAGAGAATGTATAATCTATTTATTTAATTGTAATTATACTCGCACTAATTCACTTAATTAACTTGATAATATTCTCATTTCAATTTATCACTCATCTTTATCTTTTTCTTTTACGACTCCAAACATAATATTATATAGTGGATTAAGTATAAATCAACGAAGAGATTAGAATAAAAGTTGCAAATCAAGACAAAACAGATCAGACCTTGTATTTCACTCATTTTGTCCGCTTTTAATCTCTTTCTCGCACTTTTTAATCCAAAAATTTCACCGACACCTCAAAGATCAACTTTTCTATGTACTGCAAATCAACTTTTTTCTATTACAAATCAATTTATCATCCAACAAGTCAGCTCATCAATCAACAAATAAAAATAATCAACTCGTCAATGAATAATTTCATCATCATCATCATCAAGAAGTCAACAAATAATAATAAGTCATCCAAAAATAATAGATCGATTCATAATAACTTTTTTTTTAGTTGTTTAAAATCAACCAATCCACTTTTTTTTTCAAAGAAAACTTTTTTTAATATATATATTGAAATGCTGATGAAATCAACCAATCAATCAGTCTTCTAATCTCAACAAATTAAGAGAATAAATATTTATATGAAAGTATATATGTATATTAATTTTTGTTGAATGACTTGCTGATAGTTTCAACATCTAGGAGTGTTCTTTTACATTATTAATTCATCCATTAATATTTCCAAATAAAATAAAAAGTTTTTCTAGCATTTTTCAAAAAAAAAATATCATAATCAATATATATATATATATAAGTATATTTTTTACAAAATAATAATAATAAGCGTTCCTTCAATAACAATATCATAATAGTAAAAACCTAACATCCATTAATTAATATTGACGGGAATAAGGACTTGGTGAACGAGCACCAGATCTATAATTTGGACTTAATTCTCTCACTTCGGGTGGCGAAGCTCCACGATCATCTATAAATATAACAATAAAAATAATAAGATTTTAATAATGAACTGTAATTGTTAATTGTTCAAAACATTATATAATATACATACATGAATCATAAGGTGGACGACTAGATTTTTTTTATTTTAAATAAAAATAATGGATATTATTAATCACAAATTGTATAAATTTTATTCTCAAAAAGAAAAAAAAAATCTTACCCATGCTCTGCATAACCGGGCTTTTCTTTACGATGTTGATCTTTTCTTGACAATCCAATATCCCAATCTAACTTTAATCTACGACCTTCAATGTTAGCACCATGATATTTATCATATGCATCTTCTGCATCTTTCCTATCCTCGAATTCTACGAATGCAAACCTAAAGACCAAATCGAATATTTATGAATAAATACAAATATTAACGATGTCAGTTGGTTAAGGTTTTCGATTACAGATAAAAAACTTTAACAATTACCCTTTATTTCTTCCAGTATAATTATCCAATTGAACAGTTACTTTTCTCAATCGCCCGTATCTTTCAAACATATCTGCGACATCATGCTCACGAAAAGTATATGGAATATTACCAACATAAAGTGTCGTTGTATCACTTCTTTCTTTATCAGAGCCACTGATTTTTATTAGTAACAGATTGATTGATATGATGATGATAATAACAAAGATAATATTATTAATTATTTTAATATTAATAATAATTAAATATTATTGATATAATTTCAAGATAAGTTGAATATCTACCGGTCAATTGGTTTGGTTCTTCTTGGAGGAGCTCTTCTTTCATAAGGGTATGGGTAATCTCGATATCCTCTATCGTCACGATAACTACTTCTACCATAATAACCACGACTATCACGACTATCACGATTATCACGGCTATATCTACTATCTCTGGTATAACGATCATCCCTGTATCTATCTTCTCTTCCACTGGTGCGATTGTGTCTGGGAGATGGGCTTCTTCTTCTTTTTGGAGACGAAGACATTTCACGATAACCAGCACTTCTTGGAGAAAGTGATTGTTCTCTTCTAGATAATTTATAGATTTTGCAAAAAAAAAAAAGGTTAAAGGAGAGAGATACAGATAAGTAAATATAAAATAGAATAGAAAAATCTAACCTGGAAACTCCGTTTTGTTGATCCATTTTTAAAGCGATAAGACTGAAGAAAATTTTTATAAAATAATAATGTTATTGTGGAATATTTGAATTGAGGAAAATTTATTATTAAATTCGTGTAACCTACAGCCAAAATATTATAATTGGGTTAGTATTAGCTAGGGGTAAGTAAATAAGTGGGGGACCACTCAAGGGTTACACATATAGATCTTGTGAATCCAAAACTGTCACGCCTTCTAAAATTAAAAATGATGCGCATTTCATAAAGTTGAGTTCACAAGGCAAATACCTTTATGTTTTTCCGAGTTTTGTCAAATTTGTAGCAAAAATGATTTTTAGACACTATATTAAATAAATAAAAGATATATTAAACATTTTACTTCTTGTAATTGTTTGCAATTAAAATTCTACAAGTGATAATGAAATTAAAACAATTATAATAATCATAAGTAGTGAATGAATTATGAACGGGTAAAGTAGTAATATAAGTAATACAAATAATTAAGTAATATAAATAATATAAGTAATATATACAGACCAAGCCATACATTAAAGGTTGGTCCAAACACAAAACAATTGAATAACAAACATACATACAAATATGTATGTTTAACAATCCTCAATTTAAAGTAGTTGCTCATCTACTAATAAAGTACGAATGTGCAATTTTTATTTAATAATAATAAAATTAAATTTAAAAGGTGGGGCAAAGATTGGTCACGATGTATATACATGTGAGTAAAGTTTTTATAAACACGAGGAAATTATTTGTATTTAAAATATGTATAAAAATAAATTCTTAATAAATAAAACTAACAATCTTTGCAAAAAAAAAAAAAAGTAATATATACATAATTTTTTTTATGTTAAAGATGGCAGAATCCTTATAAAAAATAAAATAAATAGAAATTATATATAAAGTATCTTACCGGACAATAATAATAGGTAGCTTATTACTACAAACATACGCTTCATGTGCATACTTTAATATTAAAGGTTGGTTGTAATGTAAAATTAATTTTATACACGGAGAGATATAAATAAATAAATTCAACAATCTTTTGACAAAAAAATTTTTTATATTAGTGGTATATATACAGTTCACTCTCCATACAACCAACCCTCTATTTCTATATGTAATTTGTTTGTTATAGATAGAGAGTGTTTACTAAGATGTTCGCCATAGAGAGTGTTTACTAAGATGTTCTTCATAGATAGAGAGTTTTACTAAGATGTTTGTCATAAAGAGTATTTGCTAAGATGTTCTTCATAGATAGAGAGTTTTACTAAGATGTTTGTCATAAAGAGTATTTGCTAAGATGTTCGTCATAGAGAGTGCTTACTAAGATGTTCGTCATAGAGAGTGCTTACTAAGATATTTGTCATAGAGTGTTTACTAAAATGTTCGTCATAGAGATTTTTACTAAGATGTTCGTCATAAATAGTGTTTACTAAGATATTCGTCATAGAGAAAAATTATGAAAAAATGAATAGGGACAAAAGTAAAGTTTATGAACTCTACCAACTCCAAGACGCAATATTAGGTTGTTCAATCATTATGAATCATTCAAGTCACACATCAAGGTATCTTGTTAAATCAATAAGTCATACATTATAATCGATTCATTTGTCCTATATACTTAAAAATGTTAAAAATGTTTTTTAAAATCTTCGTGGGAGGAATCTAAAAAAAAAATTTTTTATTTTATACTATTTAATGTTAATAAAGAAAACCAAGTTCTTACAAAATTAAGAACAAGAAGTTTTATATAAAAGAAAAATTATTTTTTATAACCGATCCTTTTTTAAAAAAGCTATAGAAGAGTTTCTTTACTAAAAGTTATATTAAAAGGAAGCTGAAGATTTGTCCTTTGAAAAAAATTTTAACATGTGGTATATATAAAAATTTTTTTTTACGATATGTACGTGTTTTGCGTTTTATTTATTTCTACTAATAAATATATTACAGTGCGTGACAGAAATTAAAAATGATATGCATTTCATAATAAAAAAGAAAACTTTTACATATAAAACTTTATAAATGAGTGTTTTAAGCAGCCGATCCACCAAAGTTGAGCTCCCAAGACTAATAATACCTTTATATTTTCTGAGATTTGTCAATTTTGAAGTAAAAATGACATTTAAGCACAAAATTATATTGAATAATATATACATTCATTTCTAGTTTTTAGTAGTAGTTGTTTGCATATAAAAATTTTAACAATAACAAAATTAAAACAATTGTAATAATTTAAAGAGAGTGCTAATGGTGAATAGATAAAAAGGTAATTAATATATATTTGTAGGGCTCATGTATATAAACCATTAAAAAAAAATTAATATATAGAAAACAATTAAATTTTTTTTTACCTCAAAGATGATGAAAAATATTACAACTAATATATAGAAAGTCATATATAATGGTAAAGTCACATTTAATTGGAAATTAATAAGTGATTTACTATGACTGTGCACTTCACGTGGGTTTTTTAATTTTAATATTAAAGATTGATCATGTCATGTAATAATCCTTATTCATAAAAAAAAAATATTTGAATCATAAACAATAAACTTTTCATTCAATAAATTCTATTAAAAAAACCACAAATCATAGAAATGAATGAGAGTACTAAAATTGTTCATAAAAATGCTAAAATGAACTAAATAAATAAATATGTACATATCTATCATGCTGTCTCCATGTTTTTGATGATCATTCATATGGGACATGCTGCAACAAAACCAGACAAAGTGAACATTGGTATTATCAGGAATTCCAGGGATCAAAATTTAGTCATTTGTAATGATATTAATGATTTATGATATTAATCTTTTTATAATGATAATATTTTTGATTATGAAAATTTATGAAAATATTCATTTGACATTTTCATTTTCACATGATCAAGAGATCAAATATGGATATTTAGTGATTTACAAAAAGTTATAGGCAAAGAATTGAAAAGATAATCAATATATACATATGGGAGTTGGACTAGGAAAATCAACCCCTGGGGTCTCAGGACCAAAATCAAGATTTTTGATTCAATTTATTCTATTGTACAAGGACTATAAATAGTTAAAGTTTTGAGTGATGTTAGCATAATAAAACCTTGTACAATTGAGTCTTTGTTTTCGTAGTGATTTTTCTTTTAACAAATTCGGAAATGATCATCATTTGCGCACATTTTATTTATGGTTCTGAACAATAAACATCCACCAACATGGACGAATTTTGAATACAAGTCTTCTTTCTTTTTTCTGATAATAGTTCTACTGGAAGAACCTCTGGATGATCAAGAAAACCAAAATTATTTTTTAAAGGTAAAAAAGGATTTTCAATTCCATTTGATTCTTTTGAAACATAAAATTTTACAATATCATCTTTTTTGATAATATTGTCTGATTTGAGGCGAAGGAATAAAATGATCTTTTAAAAATGAGTCAAAATCATGCCATATCCAACCCAATTCACTATTGCATCTAATTGCTTCATTACCTTTAGTTGAATTAACAACAATATTTTCAATATCACCAACAATGTTTACAGATTGGTTTCTGTATAATGCCAAAGCTACTCATTTATTATGTAAATAGTATTACAATGGTAATAATAACTAATAAAATTTTTTTTTGAAAATTTTTGTGCACAAAAAAAATCTATAAATAGTATCAAATTTTATTGGTTGAATTTTTATCAATGATTACTCAAAAAAAAAAATTTAGCTGAGGGGTCGATTTTCCTAGTCCAACTCCCATATATAGAATGGTACTTTGTTAAAAAAAACCAATATATAGGATAAATAATTAATGTAGCATAGTGGAAGTTTGTTGTTACACGAAACGTTATGCAGAACTTATTGCTTCTGAAACTTTGCCAGTATATAGTTGTTACCTCTCTAAATTGGAGATCAAGTTCTGATCCAATTAAATCCAGTTTATCACTTACTTTTTATTGCCAGAATGTTTGCCGTGTATTGTAAAGCAATATAAAAATCAGTGTAACATTTCAAATTTCCACTATGCTAATTAATGTGTACATGTCGATCAAATAACAAACTTCTTTTTTTCTTTTTAAAAAAATATAAACAATGCCAAAAGACAAAAAAGTGGATAGAAAAAGAAGCAAAAATAATAAAAGAAAAAGAAATTGCTGGGTAAGTGTTTATTGGTGGTGGTGGTGGTTGCCACTTGCCATCACTCTAGTTTGTATATAAAGATTGGTGGTTGTTGCAATTGTTGCTATGCATCATCACTCTAGTTAAATATAAACTTTTTTTTTATTAGCAAAAATAAAGAAAATGATGAGAGGGTATTTATTTCAATAAAATATTATTTTAGTATTCAATATTGTAAACACTAATTCAACATAAAATAATTTTTATATATTGTTATTCTCTCACAAACAATCATCCTCTTTAGAGTTGGAGAAAGAAGGTGGAAGAATTGGAGTTGGAGGTGAAAAAGTTAAAAAGATAATTAAAAAGTGTTGAAGGTAAAGATCTTGAATGTAAATGTTGGGTTATACATTGAAGGCTGATAAATATTCTAGTTTAGTGATCACAATCATCATATTCATGAATATTCATTAAAGGGGTTACACTTATAAAAAATCCAAAAATCCCTTAAAATTATGTGTCAATCACTTGATTTTGATAAGTGTAACCCCCTTAATGAATATTCATGAATATGATGATTGTGATCACTATTCTAGTTATTATAAAAAACTGGCTAATTTCTAATTAAATAAGTGGTTTTTATCCATTCATCCATTTTTTTGTTCTGAATTAATTACTTTATTCTTTATTTTCTTTTTATCTTATATTTATAATCAGGTAAGAATTATTTTTATGACAAATATTTAAGATATATTTTTTGAGGAGTTGACAAACTCATGTTTTCACATTCTTTTAACCTATTGGGTCTATTTCCTGTTTTAGATTTGTACCAACCAGAGAAAATGATCACAACATCAAGCTTGAAAGCATTGCACAGGCTTTTGAAAGACCATATCTGCACACTATGCTGGAATTGACAACACACCAATGAATCCATACATACCCTTGTTTATGCAATTAGGAGTGAAGAATAATCATTTGCAGTTGGCCCAGAATCCCATAATATTTACTAGAAATCAAAAGCATTACAAACAAATATTTTTCATAGGCTAACTGCTAGGGTTTTCTATTTGAATAAAAAAATTAATTTGAATAAGAAAATTAATTCAAATAAAAAAATTGATTCAAATAAGGATATTAATTTGAATAAGGATATTAATTTGAATAAAAAAATTAATTTGAATAAGGAAATTAATATTAATATTAATATTAATTTGAATAAAGCAAATAATTTGAAAAAATTAATTCAGATAAAACAAATAATTAAGGTCCAGTTTAAATTCAAGCTCACTGGAAAGATTGATATTTATTAAAAGAAACATGAATCTTGTTTCAGTCTTTCCTTATTAATTTCATTTTTAATTTCAATTTTTATAATAATAAAATCAATATTAAACCTTGTTGTATATATAGTTTGAACCCATGATTCCAAATAATCCAATAAAATGAATGAACAAACCCAAGATTTCAATAATGAATAAAACACAAATAATTTGAATGAATTTTTTTAATTTGAATTTTTTTAATTCAAATTAAAGGTCAACTGTATTATGAATAATTCAAATAAGAATTTGTATTATGAATGGAGGCCTACTAACTGCTGGCAATTCTCATGATGAAAATTTGGGTGATACAGAAATAAAAATGGTAAATCAGTGCCTACAAATTCCAATGGTGGCTATTGGAATGAATGAAAAATTGTATCCATATATTCAGCAAATAGAAAATGGTGAGGATGATGAAAATGCAAGCCAGAAGCTATTAGTACATTTGCAAAAATTGCTTGTTTCATGGCCAGATCCTGCTGAATTGCATGTCTCACAGAAGAAAATAAACTATTTTATTTTTAAAATAAATATGTGATGATTCTGCAATGTTTTAATTATTTGTAAATGTCCAAATGATGTAATTTCTTACTTATCAATTATCTTTAAACAACAATATTTTTTGGTGAGTCAATCAAAAAACCTACAAAGTGAACATAAAATTATATATTAATATATAGGAATAAGTGTATATGAAAAGTAATAATAATTATAATGGCTCTAATGAATATGAAAAAGCAATTGATTTTTTAGAAAAAGGTTGTAAATGTGGCTGCTCTTCCAGAATTCCCAAAGAAGTATTTGTAGAATTAAGAGAATCCTTTCAAGCTCTTTCTAAGACTGAACAAGACATATTTTTAATGGCACAAATTAAAGCAATGGATGGTAGTTCAATAAGTGCTAGTAGACTTTTTAAGAAGAAAATTAGATCTAATAAAAGAACTTTCTATCACTGAGATCACAATGCACCCCTTTGTCAAGAAACTTATTTTAATATGTTAGGGATTGGTAGAACTTATTTTGAAAATATCAGAAATCATCTAATAAACAATAGCCTTCTGCCAAGAACTCATGATAATATTAAAAGGGTACCTCAATGGAAAACTAAAATGGTGATTGATAAAAATGTTGCTGAAATTGTAAAGAATTTTCTAGAAAATTATGCAGGAGTTCATGGATTACCAAGTCCAGGGAGAAGTATTAATTGAATAACTCAATCAATTACATTCTTACCAGCTGAAATGGGTTATAAATCTGTGCAGTGATTTTCAGATTGGTCTAGAAGAAGATAGTAATTTGAAATCCTTAAAATATGATGCATTTAGAAAATTATGAGATCAATTGACACCAGAAATTCAAATTATGAGTCCCAAGGACTGACTTGTATGATACTTGTCAACATTTTCGAAATGGTTCACATTACAATGCTTACCAAGAGGTAGAAGCTAAAGATTTACTCAAAAGATTTAAAGGACATCTGTCCAAAGCAAGATTATAAGTTATCTTTATTAATTACGGAAAGCTTATCTTTTTATACAAAAATGCATAATATAATATTACAATTAAATAAATAAAAATAATATCTTAGAACTTCCCAGAAAGTTGCAGCACTTAATTTGTAACTCATATACATAAGAAAATAATATAAATAATAATAATATAAGTAATACAAATGATAATATAATGATAATAAATAATATGCAATATAAATAATAAGTAATATAGCAATAATATATATAAGTAACATTGTGATGTTTCATTTTAATTTAACACATTACGCGAAATAAATTTCATATTATTGTGCCATATTACATATTTGCAATTAACAAAAAAGAACTGTTACAGGTGAGGGAAGATTAATGGAAACAGTCATTGACAATTGATGCAATCTTGATAAACTCCAGGGCCAAACACCCCCTCCCTGGAATTCTGTTGCATCATTATATCATTGAGGGTGTCTTTGTCAGATTAGCCTTGTGCACATGAGGAAGATGTGAGGATGACTGTAAGTGTTCAAGGTAGTGTAGCATGTGTGCTTCAACATCTATAAAATTTCTGATAATAATCAAACATTGCATATTTGAAATGTTTCTTTTCAACAATCAGTCATGCTGCCTTGAGATCTTGTGATTATAATAATATAATAATATTATTAATATTATTGATTACAAAAAGCAAAATACCAATCATTTGTTTACTTACTATCTTGATGAGGATCTTATAATTACCCATCCTACATTTTGATTTCAATTAAAATACTTATAAACTAAAATATATATATCAATACAAATAAAGAAAGTACATCTGGTTAGTTAGTTATTAACATGTCTTCTTTAGGAGAACCATGTTTTGACATTGAAAAATAAGATTGTTTTTCCAAAAAAAAAAGTCAATCACGCATCAACAAAAAAATCCTGTGCAACACCAAGAGCCAATAATAAATAATTAATGATGCATTTGTCGATCAAATAACATTTCTTTTTAAAATTAAATAAAATGCCTAAATCCTTCACCAAAAAAAGAAAAACAGAGAAGGATCATGTTGAAATAATTCATGAGTAAGTGTTTTAAGAATGGTGTTGGTGGTTATTTCCACCACTCATTGCTCTAGTTAATAATATAATTGTGGCTTTTTTAATTCATTCTAATTTAGTACCTATGCAAAAAGACCAAAATCTGGGAAAAAAGCAAGTGAAAATCATATTCTCTTTGAATGGACAATCAACCTGGATTTTGGATATTAATACAATTCTAATCTGCAGAAAAATGAAAAAAATAAAAAAAATATTTCCAAAAATAAGGAAGTAGAATTACTTTCACCTTCTTCAACAAATGGTTTATTAGATATCATTAACAACATTGATAAATTATCTCCTGAAGTAAATCCTAATTTTTCATAATGCTGTCAATATTTATCATATTTATTGAAACAATTGGTAAATTCTTCTAGCTTCCAGAATACTTAAAGAATGAAAATAGATTAGCATTCTATAATATAATATGCTTATTTGACAATACATTCCCTTACATGTAGAAGATCATGGAAATATTTTCAAATCATGAAATTGAAAATTTTAACAAAAGATGGGAAACAGTAATTTAGTTTTTATATTTAGACATTAATCATTTATGGATTAATATAAATTATAAATTAATATACTTACCAACTTGCTTATTCTTTTAATATCATAAGGCACACAATAACATCAAAAAAATTATATTAATGATCAATATAATGCTAGTTCTCTAAAAAGTTTAATAGATAAATATAGAGTAATCATTGATACTAACACAAACTTAGAAAATTTTAATGTTAATTTAAACAAGATGATCACAGGGTTTTTAGAATCCCCAATAACTGGTAAGTACAAAAACGGATTCCATGAATTATTATGGTGTCAAGATATATTTAAAAATATGTAAGTGATTAGTTCTTGTGCATTGTTGAGTGATTGTTGTGTGAGTTAGAGTTTTTTTTTGTTATTAGGGTTAAAGAATTTCAGAGAGAACATTCAATAAAGAAGCAAGTGAGTTCTGATATCATGATGAAATAGTTAATCTGCTGCTAGCTTCAATCCTTCATGATGTTGGAAGATACATATGGTTTGAAATGTAAGTGCTATTGTTGAAAGTTTTACCATTCCAATTATGCGGATCTTAATTTTCATGTTGATATGGAACTAGGGGTGAAATAGAAAACCAAGAAAGAAAGGAACAAAAGAATAACTATAAAAAAAAAATTGAGAGGGAAAAGATTGGGGATAAGCATGATGGCCTGTTATATATGAAGTTGCTAGAGTTTGTATTCATGAATATCATCAGGGGCCACACAGGGTCACACACTATTAAAATCAAGTGATCAACTCATGTTTTTAAGGGATTTTTTGCTGTTTTAATAGTGTGTAACCCCTTAATGATATTCATGATATTCTTGAATAAAAACCCTAGAAGTTGCATGGAGTGAAAAGGGAGGTGGTTTTTTGGAAGTTGTTGGCAATGCATTAATCAAGAACACCTTATTTAAAAACGAGGATTTGGAGAAATTGTTAAAAGGTATATTTTCTATAATCTCTTATTCATTTATTTGATTCAAACATGTATGGTATTTGACACATTGCTCTATCTATATTTTAGTAATGATGTTATCATTGTGGCATAAAAATGCACACCATAATTATGATGAATTGAAATTCAAACTACAATCATTCGGAATATTAGTATATGGTAAGTATTACTCAAGAGTTTTCAATCATCTTGATCAGAAAAACACTGACTGATACAAACATTTTAAAAAGGATGGAAATTTCATTTTCTAAACATGATTCTTGATAATAACACATATATTGTAAAAGAATTCAATTTTTTTATTATTCCAGATGTGGAATTAGAATTTTGGCAAATAGTAAATGTGGTAATATCAGTAAAAAGATTCAAAGTAGGTTTTGATTTATATTCATGTATAAAATGTTGATTCAAAATTCTTGAAAATTAATTCATTATTTTTAAACTATAATAGCTTAGGATTTTGAAATATTAAGATTTGAGTAAGCTCACAACATTAAAAGTTCTAAAACCAATTGATATTAATGTGCCACCATCAACACCACCTTACTGTTAAAAGATAATAATAAAAATAAATGGGTTTTATTAAAGCAATTCACAATTATTTAAATAAAAAAATAAAGATTAATTAGGAAATGTTTATGGTGCGAGTGTGCAATCCGAGTTTCCTATCTAATAGGTTATCTATAGCTCAACACACAGCCTCCTCGCTGACTTATGGTTGATTCTATTGTTTGACACACAGTCTACTCGCTGACTTACGGTCAAAGATTAATAATAAAATAACTTTTATCTTCCTGGATAAAAGGGTCCCTAGGTTCTATGTAAATGATTATATCTCAAAGGCATCCCCTTGAGACGTATCTGAATAATTAAAAGGGTTCCCAACTAATAATTAAAGGTTGGCCAGACCATTAACCATTAGAAGGGCTGGGTGGTCAACCACACTGGGTTTATTACTTACTTACAGTCAAAGACTATTTTATGTAAGGTTATATATTTATTAAGGGTTATTATTATGTTGTTATCAAGGTTGTTATTAACAATATTAACAATTGATTTATTAATCATTCCATTAACTTGGTCTAAAGCCAAGTGTATTTATACCTCTTGGGGCAGTACAAATAATGTGATATGTGCTACTCTATTCTCCAATAATATGCTTATCAACTAATTACTAATTCTAAATAAATATTTACATCAGATGAGAAGGTTAATAAATATAAATATAGAAATATGAATAGGAATAGTCTTTCATATGACACTGCGCAATGTGCGGCGTAGCCGTTACAATAATATATTTAGCTCATCACATGACTTCCGTAGTAAGTTCGTTCTAAATGGTCAATATTGGCCGGGTAATTGATAGGTCCAAGATTTACTATCTCACAATGGTAAAAATATAATATGGTGCATTATTATACATAAGGAATAAGTCTCCTATGAGATTATACTTCTTTGTTGTATATTCTATTAATTTTCCAGTAATTCACATAGATTCATACATTTTCACATTCTTATTACCAATCTCCTTATTTTAACTAAGTTTACTGAATCTAAAGCAACAGGGACTGTAGCTTGTAAATCACTAATGAATAATAATAGTATTCCTTTTTTCAATCTCAGCACCTTTCCATATTGTGAGAATACAATTTTTTTTGTATTTTTTTTTCTTTTGGTATTTATCATTATATTTTTTATTTGTTATTTGCTTTTATAAAAAAAAAAGATTGTTTTTTTTATTTCATGCAACCACTACCACCATTCTAATTAATGTTAAGTTAAAAATGGATTAAAAGTCTGTGTTCAGTTTTTATAATGAAAAGTTTATTTGTATTCAATTAACAATAAAAATTGGAACCAAATTGTATATTAATGACAAAATATATTTTTTTTATTAGTAAACAAGCTTACAACCAAGAACGCCATGTGAGCTTTTGCTTTTCATCTATTACACAAACACAGTTGGGTTTGGGTTGCATCTTCTTTGTCGCAAAGAACAAAAAAATAGCATGACTTACAGGTTTTGAAAGGAGATCATGACACAGCAAATGTTTTATTATTTTCTTGTGTTAATTAATTAAATAAATAATAGTGGTGGTGGTAAATTATAATTCACATTCGTTACTCTAATTTTATGTAGGAGTGGTTTAAGGAAACAGAGAAAATAACAAATGAAAAACTGATCACATAACAATTATGCTGATAATGACTAAATTTTGATCCCTGAAATTCTTGGTAATACCAATATTCACTTTGTCTGGTTTTGTTACAGCATGCACCATATATGAAAAATCCATTAAATCCATTAAATTGAGATAAAATAACTATAGAAAGATTTGGTTTTGAAAATTTATCTGTTAAACCCTTAAATCTGCTAAATCGAGATACACTGTGTACACCCTCATAGAAAGGATATAAGTATATATTAAAAGAATAAATAAATAATATCATGGCAAATATCCTAAAAGAACAACAACAAGCAAATAAAGTATTAATTGAAGAAAACAAAACTTAAAAAAAAGCAATTTGCAGATAAAGAAGAAAACCTTAAAGTAAAAATCTGACACATTACTAGTCAGTCTCTTAATGACAAGGATGAAGTTAGCCTTTATGCTCCTAAGGGAACATGATGATACAAAAAACTAAATAAGAAGTGAATGGATGAGGGCAAATTAAGAATGGCAGTAGATCCTGATGAAACTAGGGAATGAGTTAAAAACTGTAAAAGATTGATTTGATAACATTACAATCCATTATACAAACACAGGCAGATATTTGCCCGCTTGTGCTTTGCTGAGGCTTTTAAAATTGTCCTCTTTTGACATAATTATAAAAAACATCCGCTCGGGTTTCGTTTGAAGAAATGTTAGAGGGTTTATTGATTATTCAAATGTCATCGTCAGAGGTGATGTCAAAATTAAAATTTCAAATCCCTTGAGGTATCACCCCTTCATGGCTCAAATATTAAAAAGTTCTAAAACTAGTCCCATGTTTGAGGCTCAAAATAAATTTTTCACTGCAAAGATAAACAATTCCCATATACTGGTTCAACCGGTCCTAGTAAAACACCAGACCAAAACTTTTTTTTTATAAATCCAATTTTCTCTTTTTTATTTTACTAAGACCACTAAGACCAAAATAATAAATAAATTATTATCAGCAAGATCTCAAACTATCAATAACAGTGGGATTTTTCACTTTTCTATGTTTTTTATCCTTGGTTTGCTTGGTACCTTAATTAGAAGCTTTTGGGGTCCTGTCAAGGTACTCTTTAATAATATTCTTAGGGCTATGTAGTAATTTTCTATGTTTAATGATCAACCACTGTGATCAACCCAATAATTTATACATTAAGAAATTGATTACTTCACGTCTCAAAAAAATAAAGCTCTTTGTAAATAAATTTTTTTTTTTACATGTTGCTTTTTGTTTCTTTTTTATTTTTAATTATAATGTTTTTAATTAAGTATAATTTATTTATTAACTTATTAAAAAGTAATATTCCGAATAATAACAAATCAAAAGCAAATTGCCAATTATTTTTGCGAGCTATTATATATAGTTAAAAAAAATGGTGGCGGTGATTAATGTTAACTGAAGGTGATTCTAATGTGGCAGCAATGTTTGTATGCGACGCATCAGAAGAGCAAATAAAAGGAAGCAACCTCCGATATGAGAAATTTCAGATGCAGATGTTGTTGGGAGACATTTCAAGGAATAAAATTTTCCATCATTTATATCCTTCACTATTAAACCAACCAGAGTTTTTTACAAATATTCATTTTGTTACTAGTTAGTAATTTCATTTAGTTATTTTGATACTATTTACACTTTAATTCTCAAACGTATTTACTTGATGATTATTTATTAGGATCTTGAATAAAATAAAAAATTATTTATTTAAAGAGATTTTCACACACGTTAGATTTTTTACTTGTTTTTTTTACGTAGTAATCAAATGTATTGCCA